TGAAATGAAAAATAAACAACCTAAATTTTTTTTAAAAAAAGTGCAACAATGAATGAATAAAAATGTTAAAAAAGAAAAAAAAATAGAATCTAGAACATCAAGGCCAAAGTGGCAGAAGTTTCCAACATGCTGGAGGGACAAAAAAAGCACAACAGAAAAGATAGAAAAGAAAGTCAGTGATCTGGAAGACAAGAACCTCAATGGGAGCATACCTGAACAAAAAACAGAGAGGAGATGAAAGGGAAATGGGAGGAGGAACAAACAGAAAAAAAAAAACACCCCAAAACCTCATAAATTTAGAATCATGTAAGAAGCATCAAAAGGAATAACACACATATAATTGGAATTTCAGAACAAGAGGAGAGGAGGGAAACCACTGAGGAAATTATGGGAGAAATAACCAGTAGAAAATTTCCTAAAATTTTAGAAAAATTAGAAAAGAAGGGAAATCTACATTCAAGAAACTCAGTGAAGCCCAAGCAGACTAGATCCCAAAAGAAAAATATCAAGATATATCATAGTCAAATACTACAAAATCAAAGGATAGAATATTAAAAACAGCATGAGAAAAACCAACAGTAACCTACAAAGAAAACTGATTAGATTAATTAAATTCTGATTTCTCAGCAGAAATCAAGACATTGATTACAGAGAAAGCAGAAAGAAAACAATTTACAGCCAAGGATCCTTTATCCAGAAAAGCGGTCCATCAAATTTTGAAGGGGAAATTAACTCATTTGTATAAATTGTGTACTTGAAGGGAAGGAAAGTAAATGTACGTTTTCATTGTGAGGAAATTCAGGAATTTAAACTTGGTTTTTGCTCTGAATATTGAAAAATATGTTGATATATATATGTGTTCTAATCTGTGTTAAGCTAAGCCAAAACATGGAAATAAACTTTTTATATTCTTCAAAACAGCATTTCTTATCTTGAACATTATCTTACAATGTGATAAAAACATCATTATCTGATTGGATCACTAATATTGCGGTTCTATTTTCTCTAACATTTGTACACAGGATTGACAGAAGACAAAGTTCAGCAATGAGAAATCACACAGCAATAACAACGTTCATCCTTCTGGGGCTCACAGAAGATCCTCAGCTAAAGGTTGTCCTTTTTATTTTCCTACTTACCACCTACATGTTGAGTGTAACTGGAAATCTCACCATTATTATACTTACCTTGGTGGATCCCCACCTTAAAACACCCATGTATTTTTTCCTTCAAAATTTCTCTTTCTTGGAAATATCGTTTACAACTGCATGTGTTCCAAGATTTCTATACAGTATATCAACTGGAGACAGAACAGTTACTTATAATGCATGTGTCATACAACTATTTTTAACAGGTATCTTTGAGGTAACCGAATTCTTTCTTTTGGCCATCATGTCTTATGACCGCTATGTGGCCATCTGCAAACCTTTGCATTATATGATAATTATGAACAACAAAGTGTGCAAAACAATGATTATTTGTTGTTGGATGGCAGGATTTATGGTTATTCTCCCACCATTTAGTTTAGTTCTGAATCTAGAATTCTGCAACTCGAATGTCATTGATCATTTTGGCTGTGATGCACCTCCTATGCTAAAAATCTCATGTTTAGATACATGGTTAATTGAGAAGATGGTTATAGCCTGTGCTGTACTGACATTCATTATTACTCTTGTATGTGTAGTTATCTCCTACACATACATAATTAACACAATTCTAAAATTCCCTTCTGTCCAGCAAAGGAAAAAAGCCTTTTCCACCTGTTCTTCCCATATGATTGTGGTTTCTATCACCTATGGCAGCTGCATCTTCATCTATATCAAACCTTCGGCAAAACAGAAGGTTGAGATTAATAAAGGAGTATCAGTGCTCATTTCATCCGTATCACCAATGTTGAATCCTTTCATATATACCCTGAGGAATAAGCAAGTTAAACAAGCTTTTAATGACTCATTCAAAAAAATTGCATTCTTATCAAAAAACTAAAATGTGCTTAAAAGTGAAAAGTTATATTAAAAAGATAGTTATGTTATATTTTTTATAAAACCTATAGAGCATTTTTGCTGAATTAACATTTTATCATATTTTCCTCTTCATTATCAAGCAAGTAATTATTTAACAATAATCTCCAGTAGACAAAACATACAGCTTGGCATTGTAGCCAGCACTTTTTTGCTAAATAATTTCATTTTCCTCATCTCAGATAATTATTTAAATCATTACAATGGTGTCATATGGGTTGAGGGAACATATGCCACATAGAGTGCACTGTCAGAACTAGTAAAACCAAAATTTTGTGTGTGTGTGTGAATA